ACCTGAGAATTACAATCCTTCTGTGGTTTTTTGTTGTTGTTGGTTGTTTTGGGTTTTTTTTGGAGTAGGGGTGTGTGTCAAGTTAACTTTCAGGGTATTGTACTCTCCGAGTGACTGTTTCACTGTGGGAACAGGTAGACAGAAACACAAGAGGGGAGGAATGGGTACGTCATCCCCACACTTTTGGTCAGCAGCATAGTTTTAAAGTTACTGGATAACCTTTCTGTGAGAATGCTGCCTGTTGTTTGGCCTGTGCTGAGGGATACAACCAAAAGTATGGATTTTGTGGTATGGAGGGACCCAGGCTTGTTGGTGGGTGCTACCCTTAGGTCCTGCCTTTGCTGTTGTGTAGAGCTCTGTAGATGTAGGCAGCCACGTATTGTCCAGGAGTAGCAATGCATGCCTCTGTGAACTTGCTGCAGTACACAAGTGGAAAACTCTGCTTTTGATGTTAGATGTGAGATTTGCAGTCATTCCTGCACAAATCTGATTTTTCTCTTGCAACAACCTGGGATATTGCTACGGCTTACTGTCATCTGTGTTCTCTCTTTCCTGGTTATAGCTCTTGCCCATGCTTTTATACCACGGGTTTAAGTGCTTTCTTACTGGAGTTTGGGAAGTGAGTTGTGGTTGTGACCTGTGGGGGAATTAGGAGGACTATGGGTGAATATTCTGATAGTCCTTCTGACCTGAACATTTATTTCAGGGTTCTCTGCAACTGGTGGTTCCAAGAGTTAGGAGGGGATGTAACTATCTGCTGCTTACAGTTGCTGGGGGAATTCACAATTTTAAAAAAAAAAGCCTAAAAAAGGGGTAGTTGGGAAGTTACAAAATATAGAACAAAAATCCACTATTTAAAAAGCCCAACTCCTGAGGCAGACAGTTCCTTGCTATAAGCTAATCAGTAAGGACTTTTCTACCCAGCTTCAGTAGGTGGAACATTATCATCTTAATGATAATATGGGAGACTAGCTGCTGCTTGTATAGACCTAATATATGTATATATGCATTTTAAATAGGTACTTGAGACCAAAAAAGATGATAGTGATAGCATTAAAAAGGGAATTAGCTTACAGAAGTTCTCCAGAATAACTAAGCCTTACATCAGCTCCAAGAAAAGTAGTGAAGAAAATCAAATCAGGTAGACAAATATAGTAATGAAGCATTTATTGCTGGTAAATGGAATATTAAATTCCACTTACTCAATCTGAACAGAACACGTGGATACCTTTAGCCTGCTTAAATACTTAGAGTCTCAGTTATTCAAGTGGACATTAAAACTTCAGTATAGCACACTAGGTTGTATGAGTGACCTGTTACACTGTGAGTGAAGGACTGTGCCTTGTCTTGAGTAGGCTGCAATCCAAGCTCTGCATTCAGAGAACTGATTTGGTTAACATGGAGTTCCAGGTTTACATGCATTAACTGAGTGGTTGTCAACATGAGAAAATCTGAAGTGGTTTTGTGTACTGCAAACCAGGCTAAGATTTATGGCTTGCTGCAGGCCAAATCTGTGCACCTGTGCTGTTGTTGCCATTCAGCTGATGCGTGGTAGGCAGAAGGCTTGACTGTGGCTCTGAGTCCTAGGTAGGATGAGAAGGCTGTGTAGGCAAAGGTATCTGGCTGCTAGAGAAGTGGGAACAGAAGATGATGTAGACAAGATGAGGTGGTGGGTTTGCAGAAGAGGCTTGGCTCACACAATGTTAGCTTCTCTTTATCAGTAACACTTTCAGTACGTGATTAGTTTGGAAGGGTAGAACACAAAGATGTGGCATAAAAAGGAATTTGGAGTGGGTTGAAGGAGATACAGGAGCAGGTAGTCTGATGGTTTCTGTAGAGGCTACTGGAGGCCTTAGCACAGGTCTAGTTTGTTGTATGAACTTTATCGTTCAATAATAGGGTACAATAAGGAGAAAGGGAGAAAGCAAAGAAAGATCATTCTTATTTCTAACCTTCCAAAAAGAGCATATGAGGAAGTGTTTGGCTGTTACTTCTCCCTCTTTGCTCACAGCAGAGAAGTTCACTGCTGTGGAATGGGAAATCTGTCTCTGTATAAAATGAAGTAGAAAAGAGGGGGAAGGGTTGCTTGGAAATTTAGAAAGTGTATGATGACGCATGCTTTCTTTAGAAGCTCAAAGATACACGGTGGAGACCTTATGCAACATTTCTCTGTGATGTATAATTTCCTTGAAAAAAGGAAGCTGACAGCATCGAGTGGGAGGCTGCTTCCTGCTTTCAGTAGAGTAGTGAAGCAGGAAAGTAAGTGTCCGATCCCTGGTTTTAGATAGGAAGAGACTTATCCTGAAAGGATAACCTTTTCCCTGTCTTGCTTCTGGGAGCCCTGCGTGCCCTCAGGCAGGAACTCTTCAGGTCCTACTGCCAAGCCTTGGTTTCCCCAGATAGTAAGAAAAGAGTGTGCCGAAGAGGGCAGCACTCCCCCAAGCCAAGCAGAAGCTGTGGAGGGAAAAAGTGTTTTCTTTTCAGCTCTGCATTCCTTCAGTCTCACTTCTGGGCTTGAAGAAGAAACAATCTTACCCTCATAACTCCAGCCTAGCTCTTATGACTAACTGAAAGAGACCAAAGATGTGAAGAGTTTAGATGCATCAATGCCCAGGCTGAGGAGGTTATTAGTGGTTGACTGAGGAGTGGTGGCTGTCCTTGCTCATGTTCTTAGTCCCCAGTAAATGGCTGCTTTCCTCCCAGAAGAGTGATGTTACCTTGCCCTTGTCAACAGCCACTGTGGCTTGGCTTATGCCTGCTGATGTTAAGCCACCACAGCTTGGTTGTGTCTGTGAGCTGAAGTTACTGAGAGGTAGAATTTCACAGTGGGTAGACCAGGGAGCTTTTCTCCATGCTAGGAATACTATAGGCCCCTAGGCAGTGAGAGATGGCTTCTTAAGGAAAACACACACCTGGAAATTGTCTTTATGAAACAGAAGTCTCTAACAAGCCTCCAAGCTTCATCAGACCAAAACAGTGTTTAATCTTGCCCAGCATCCTGCCTTCTTGTGGTCTCCAAACACAAATGTTGGAGCTGCTAGGTTCTTTGCTGGAAATTGTTAATTGGGATGGGTGGAAAGAGATGCTCATCCTGGAGCAGCAGGAGGAAGTGAGATGTTTAAATCTGCCTGAACAGGACAGAAGACAAAGAAAGGCAGGTGGGTTGTGTTGAAAAGATGTGAGAGTGATAGCTGAGCCCTCTTTACCCTGTTTACTTTTCTGGTTCCCGTGCCTGGAAAAGGCCACAGCCTAGGTGCAGACAAGTAGAAACTGTAATGGCATGAGAAGGGTACTTTCACGGGTAAATTGCAAACAAACTGGATAGTCCATGAGAAGTAGGGCATGGAGAAGACCTGTGTGTGCAGTTCTGTACCCAAGCACACAGAAGTGTGTTTCCCATTGCTTGCCTTCAGTCTCCTGTCTGAGAAACTGTTTCTATGGTGTGGCACCAGGCAGAAGAGCAGGACAGTTAGTACTGTTCTTTGCTGATGGGGAACCTAATCTTCTTAATGACTGGCCTGGCTGACCTCCCAACTGCTTTCATATGGAAAGGAAATACAACACGGAGCAGCATGGGCTTTAGTTTGTTTTCTAGACTCATATACACTGAAGGGAAGTGACTTGTTTTGATGTGATAAATCAATGCAGATACTACAGCTTTATGAACAGTAATAAGTTTTCATATCATAATGACATAAGGAGCAAGGGAAACACAGAATGATATAGGGATTGGTGACTTCTTGACTTGATGCCATTTAGGAATCAAAAAAAAAAATAATCAAAACCAAAACAAACCCAGAATAGTAGCTGTCACTTGGGAGCAATTGGCTTGAGGAGTAGACTTCTGAAATTTCTCTTTCACCATGCACAGTAACTCTTAAAAGGGAAGTTTTCCATGGTGCATATTGGAATCTTGCCTTAATATGAGACCTCATTTATATGTTACTCATGCTTTTCCTTCAACTTGGTAGTAAAAAGTTACCAGCTACCATGGAGCAGAATGGAGTCCTTAATGCAAGTGTAACTTGAACTCAATGTTGAGATGTCTTTGTCTCTGTCTATATACATGTCTGCCATGGCAGTAGACTTCTGAATTTTTTTTTCAGAGCTATTCAGAAGTAGGAGGTGATTGTGAAGAGTGAAGCAGGGACACAGATGCTAATGGCTTACAGTATCCCTTCCCCACAGCAGAACTTGGTCTCGTCTGTTAGATCAGTAGATTTTTTTTTCCACATATAGCAGTTTTTATTAAAAAAACTAGGGAACATCTCTTATCCCTCTGCTTTTTTGTTGTTGTTTTTTTATTTATATTGAATGGGCCTTTCTTAGCAGAATATGATTCATTGAAAACTGATAGCAGTTAAGATTTCTGGACAGCTCCCATTTCTTGCTTGCAGCTCTGCTAGATCTCAGAGGTTGGGATGCTATTTCACATATATTGGCTGTGAAATAAACTTACTATGAATTTCCTTTGGAAATGTCACTTATCCCTGTGATTTCAGAGCAGGTGCTCTGAACAGAGTAGCAATTTTGTCAGAAGTGTGCTTTTTACTAACTCTGCGAATATTCATGCTGGAAAAATTGCAGTTTATTTGCCCAGCAGGAGCTTCAGTCTGAGCACTCTGCAACAAGAATCTGAGATATATTTTCATGGCAATAACAATTCTTCATTTTATCTTTTTCACCAGACCACGGGCAGGAGGCCTCATTCAAGTGAACAGAAGGAAAGTACTGAGGATAGAGTAGCTTAGGATAGGGAAAAAGACCAGGACAATGATTCTACCTGGGACCAGAATGTGGAAATTGGATCCCTTTGTGATCTGTCACAATTATGCAGACAGATTGGGTTTGGGTAATTCTTAGCTGACGCATGCCTTGCTTCACAACCTTGTGATGTGCTTCTTACCTAAATTTGAATGTATTGATAGTGCATACAGCAGTAGTCAAGTAATAGTTTATAAAACAACGGTTAAAGTAACTTTTCTTTTTCCCTCCCGTAGCATGCATCTGCTGTGAGGACGTGTTTGGCATCTTGGGAGAAAATTTTACTTTTCCAGTAAAAATAGATGAAAAAGTAGTGGAAATTATTTGGACGAAAAACAAAGATAAAGTGGCTGAATGGGAAGTGCAAAACACAGCGACATATTTTACTTCTCTCCAGGATAGAGGCTTACTTAACGAGGAGAATGCATGCTTGACTATATTTAACTTGGAAGTCAATGATACTGGCACATATGTGTTAGACTACTTCGATTCTAGGAGAAGAAATTATGTCTTAACCTTCATACTTGCTGTGTTAGGTAAGTAGTGGAAGAACTGCATAAAGAATTTGCACCACTTATTCTCTTCAAGAAGGCTAGAAAGAGTATTGTTTATTTGTCAGGGAAGCAAACAAAAACAGAGAGGGGCTGTTCTTTGGCTCTGTTAAGTTGCTTAGGCACTTTAAACAAATTTTGGAAGGTGGCATCTAATTTGTGTGCCCATCATTATTCACCTTGGAATGACTTCTACAATGCATGTGGATGGCACACTCTGTACTTTCAGGTAGATAACTAAACTCCTTAAGCAAGCTGACCAATTTATCCCAGGCAGTATTTATGTACTAAAGATGCTCCTGCAGGCATGTCATACGTGCTTGAATATGTGACATCATCCTGTGCAGATCGACACAGCTTCACTAGTAGTCTTTGGGAAATATGTTTGACCAGTGTGTATATTAGTCGTATTGACAATGAAACATGAGGAGTCACAAACTGAGCACTGAAGAACCACAAACAGGACCACTTTTAGAAATACATTTCTCTCATGCACATGTGTGCACACACACATGCACACCTTACTTGCACACTTTTATCTATGCGCTCTCCTGCCACTTTTGTTGCTGCAGCCCTTGTCCCATGCTAAAATTCAAGGTAGTTTATAACCAAAGCATTACAGAATGTTTTCTTTCCTTTCAGCTCCCCCTTCAGAACCTGAAATAAGTTGCAACATCAGTGGTGATGACCTTGTGTTAAACTGTACAGCACATTTCCAGAAGCCTCTGAATTATGCTTGGAAGTTCAGTAGCACACCAATCATTCATCAGACCCAGGAAGTTTTCATTCCTAAGAAGGATATTGATGCTTCTGAGAAAGCTGTGTGCTTCATTAAATTCTCTCAAATGGAGAAGAGCTCTGAAATCTTCTTGACTCAATGCTTTCCAGGTAAAGAAAGTAATGGATGGGCCAGGTTGTATATGCAAGTCTGAGAGGCTAGGTTAGGAAACAGCATGAACTTTATAAGGTTTCTGCTGACTTCTGAGGAAGTTGAATTTAAAGAGTAAAAAGCATCAGAAGTGATTTGTCTGCTGAAAGTGTGTTTAATGTTGGTGAAAGGTGTGAGGTTGACAGTTTGATCCCCTGGAAGGATACTCTTTGCAGGGATTGTAACAGAATAAAACCTTCAGCTGTGACTTGAAATGAGTAATAATAAAGAAGGAGACACACTTAAAAGATCTCTTCTGAACCTTCTGGCTGTATGTAATTAATGCTAATCACTAATGTACTCTTTGTACTGCTTTCTGTGAACTGGAATGAAACTATTCAGTCATTTCAAGTGAGTTATCTAGCAGCCATTAGATAAAATAATTTCTCATACAGTGTGTGCATGAGTCAATGAGCATACTTCTTTTCCTCCTTCACAGACAGAGATAAAAAGGAGAAAAGAGTTTTCCTGCTGTTGCTTATTGCTTTGGGACAGCCTCAGCTGAGCTTCAGGTCAGCTTGAGGCTTGCTTTTTTTTTTTAAAAAAAAAGAACATAGTATGAGAACATGTTTGGAACAGTCTGGTCTGTAGGGTGTGTAAGGCAGTCCCTAACTGACAAAATTTCCCACTTGGGTGCAAAAGTCATTTTCATGGTTTACCAATATAGAATTCTTCCTTCTTCACTGGAATTACATGTTACAGACTTGTTTGTTAGAAATGCAGCATGTGGTGGGTTGATCTTGGCTGGCCACCAGGTGCCTGTCAAGCTGCTCTATCACTCGTCCTCCTCAATGGGACAGAGGGGGGAAATATGATAAAAGCCTTGTGAGTCAAGATAAGGACAGGGAGATCACTGAGCAATTACTGTCATGGGCAAAACAGATTTGACTTTGGCAATAAATCAATTTCACCATCAAAATCAGAGTAGGATAATGAGAAACAAGAACAAATCTAGAACACCTTATCCCCACTCCCCTCTTCTTCCTGGACTCAACTTCACTCCCAGTTTCTCTACCTCCTCCCACCAGTGGCACAGGGGGATGGGGAATGGGGGTTGCAGTCAGCTCATCACACGTTGTCTTTCCCACTCCTTCCTCCTCACCCTCTGCCCCTGCTCCAGCCTGGGGTCCCTCCCACAGCAGACAGTCCTCCATGAATTTCTCCAACGTGGGTCCTTC